AAAATAAATAAGAAAGACATTCCTGGCACTAAAATAACATTTCCTCTGTTCGTTAGTCACATCCCCAGGCCCCTCTTATATTTCTTTAGCTTTCCACTTTTAATTTTTATTCTTACAAAAAATAGAAGATTTACTGTTATGCAGACTACTGCATTAGTGTAGAAATGGTATAAATAATATCAGCGCACTTGTGAAAGAATATTAGAATCACCAGTTAACGTGTATTGGACGCATGGCATGATTTGTTTAGTTTTGAACTTTGGTAAAAATCAAACATTTCTGCTACTTTGAGCTCAATTTCAAGGTACTTTTCATTGTAAAACCAGTCAAAATCATCTCAATTTCTGTAATATGTCTTCAATTCTATAAAATGAGACCAAGAAAACTAGAATACAATAACAAATACCATACGAAAATACAGTGCAAAGTTGCTGCTTTATTCCAAAAACACGGTCAAAGTTTTTTTTTTTTCTCATTATGCACTGTGTGCTGCAGGATTTTTTTTATACTGTGCACACTGACCACATAGACCCATTCTTTCATATGTATGCCTACCAGCTTTCTCCCACTAGATTTGAGGGCGCTAGAATTTAGGTGTACTAGTACGTCAAAAACCCTGGGTCGTAAGCCGTACTAGTTCGACCGAAACCCTCAAAGGGTTAAACAACCATGGTGACATTACACATCCCTGTCTAAGACCTACTTTTACCGGGAAGTAGTCTCCCTCTCTTCTACACACCCTAACCTGAGCCTCACTGTCCTCATAAAAACTCTTTACAGCATTTAGCAGTTTACTACCTATTCCATATACGTACATGTACTTGCAACATCTGCCACATTGCTCCCCTATCCACTCTATCATATGCCTTTTCTAAATCCATAAATGCAATGAAAACTTCCCTACCCTTATCTAAATACTGTTCACATATATGCTTCAATGTAAACACTTGATCTACACATCCCCTACCCATTCTAAAACCTCCTTGCTCATCCGCAATCCTACATTCTGTCTTACCTCTAATTCTTTCAATAATAACCCTACCGTACACTTTTCCTGGTATACTCATTAAACTAATTCCTCTATAATTTTTACAATCTCTTTTGTCCCCTTTCCCTTTATATAAAGGAACTATACATGCTCTCTGCCAATCCGTAGGTACCTTCCCCTCTTTCATACATTTATTAAACAAAAGTACCAACCACTCCAACACTATATCCCCCTCTGCTTTTAACATTTCTGTCATGATCCTGTCAGTTGCAGCTGCTTTACCCCCTTTCATTCTACGTAATGCCTCACGCACCTCCCCCACACTCACATCCTGCTCTTCTTCACTCCTAAAAGATGGTATACCTTCCTGGCATCAATTGGTAGGCTATAGGTAGTTCTGGGTTCTGAGGGTCTATAGCTATTTTGGATCAGAAGAGGGTGTTAAAATTACTAAAAATCCAGGAGAATGTCTCAGTCATTTAGTAATAAATAGGAGACATTTCTGAGAGTAAAAAGAAACCAAGCATCTCCCCTGAACCATGGTCACTTCTGCTGACAGGTACTGCTGCTGTTCCTGGAAGCCACCTCTTATTCTACTTGTACAACACCAGGATGGCACCTCCATAACGGGAGGCTACCTGGAGGTTATTCTGGGGATCAACGCCCCCGCTGCCCAGTCCATGACCAGGCCTCCCAATGGATCAGGGTCTGATCAACTAGGCTGTTACTGCTGGCTGCACGCAGTCCAACGTACGAGCCACAGCCCGGCTGATCCGGCACTGACTTTAGGTATCTGTCCAGCTCTCTCTTGAAGGCAGCCAGGGGTTTATTGGCAATTTCCCTAATGCTTGATGGGAGGCTGTTGAACAGTCTTGGGCCCAGGACACTTATGGTGTTTTCCCTTAGTGTACCAATGGCGCCCCTACTTTTAATTGGGGGCATTTTCCATCGCCTGCTCAGTCTTTTACTTTCGTAGGGAGTGATTTCTGTGTGCAAATTTGGGACCATTCCTTCCAGGATTTTCCAAGTGTAGATTACGATATATCTCTCCCTCCTGCGTTCCAACGAGTACAAGTCGAGTGCTTCTAAACGTTCCCAGTAGTTAAGGTGCTTGACAGAACTTATACGTGCAGTAAAGGATCTCTGTACACTCTCTAGATCTGCGATTTCACCTGCTTTGAATGGAGATGTTAATGTATTCCAGCCTAGAGAGAACAAGTGATTTGAAAAGGATCATCATTGGCTTGGCATCTCTCATTTTGAATGTTCTCATTATCCATCCTATAATTTTCTTTGCACATGCGATTGTGGCACCGTTGTGATCCTTGAAAGTGAGATCCTCAGACATTACTACTCCCGGGTCCCTTACATTATTTTTCCGCTCTATTGTATGGCCAGAGTAAAGCTTAACAAAACTTCTTGTTTAGATCATAGTACTAACTGTACAATGATCTTTCAGCTGATAATGGTAGCGTAAGAACTGACAAGAATGCCAGGAGTCTTTCACCTTCTATTTGCTACTCCTAGATCCAAAGATAACCTTCACCCATGGTTCTGCTAGATTGCCACCTGATGTCTCATTGGAGGGTCACCAGACATTCCCCTAAGATAACCCACTACAGCACCACCAACAAAAGCTACTTTAAAACCAACCCAATAATGATTCCTTTCCCTTCTGTCTAGGAGCTGAACCACTAAAATTTCTCTACTAATGAGACCAAAAGAAGAGGAAGGGTTGGGGGATGTTTAAATTTAATCAGAGGTGGTTCATATCCTCTTATCAAGAACTCCTTTGCCATGATAACAGATCCCACTTTGAAGGAGCTTGACTTCAGTTACAAGACAAAAGTAATTTTTTCCAGGTCCACATGAGACCTTGACAAGAAATTTGAAAAAAAGGACACTACTTATGGATGTTCTTGTAATACAATCTCTCTCTGATGATCTAACTTTCCATGCAGACTCTGCCTTTGCTTTGCTACATTTCCTACTCTAACATCCCCACTTCTTCCACTCTGGAAGCTCTTTTCATCTCAGATGTGTGGTACTGTGTGACCCTTATGAATTTAACGTTTTCCCTTGAATATACTAATACTAGATATCTGTAGCTATCTAATGAGTTTCTTGAGGGAATACAAAATTTACCATTAAAAAAGTCTAATATTTAAATATTGAATGTGCAGGTGGACAAATTTATTTAACTTCATTGTAGAATACATTAAAGTACGATAATAATTTTTTTTAAGTTTTTATTAAAGACCAGCAATCAAGAAAATGCTTTTAACATCAAAATAGTTTCTTTAAGTCAAAAGATGGTTTATACTATCATACAAAGGGTGACCAATTTATGAAGTTATGGTTTGTATTAATGTTACCTCTAAAGGTACATTCTACCCTAAAGTTACAGTTATACAAATGCCAGCCATTATTAAGATTATTATAAGGCAAGACCATTTATTTCAGTAGTTTCACTATGCAGAAAAAACAATAGAGAATGATGACAAAAAGGTCCCTGTAATGTTTAAGAGTATGCTAAATCTAAACTAATGAGAACACTAACAGGTACACAATCTGTGAAGTAAAGAGTTTCACTTTATTTTGTATGAGAGGTTTCTTGATACCAGTGAAAGGCTTTTCATTCAAGGAATTGAACGTGATTACCTCATATTTCCCTAGGCGTTGTATAGCCTCTACTGATTTAGCACTTCCCTTCTTCCTCACTCCCATGAATGTAGTTAATAATAATTCACTATTTACATGACAAAATTTCTGAAGAAAGTTTATTTTAAATACAAGTGATGACACAGCATTTCAGTATCTACAACCTATCTTCATTTTCTGTACAAAACTAAAGTCTCTAGTTAAGGATGTAAAATATAATGAACACTCAAGTCAGTTATGTTCTGGTAATGAAAGCTCATAATTTAGCTGAAAAGAATTCAGCCATCAATGCAAGAAACAATGTATTTAACATGATTATCTTGGATATGATTAAAAATATCAACTTATAGTAGAACATCAACTGACATGTGATTGAGCAGTGTATAACATGGTTGAAAATTAAAGATATAATTTCAAATAGCACTAACTAAATTTAGGAGAAAATATGCAGTCCTGTGGGATCTTTCCTCTTTGCCTAGTCTTGCTTTTCGTGTACAAAACTTCATACACCACCAATTCACCGTGCATACATTTCCCATATGTTACTCAGTTATGTGTTAGTGAATTGATTTTGATTTTCAGCATTTGACCACCGCATTTCTGTAGTCGGTATGGCAATCAACAGAAATATTAGTGATGCTGGAGGTGCCAAGAACAAGTGCTCATGACCTTCAATTTTGTGCCTGCATAATTCCATAATTATCACATCATATTTCCTGCTATTTGGAAAATGCAGGGAACTACTCAGGACCCTGACACATCTAGAAGCATTACATTACTTTGAAATGAGGTCTGGAATAGATGATGTTATCTTACTGTCTGCTGCAGGGTAAAACAGACCAGAAATGCACTACAGAATACCTGAGCACTCTGGTACAATCATCTAATGACAATTCTGCATTAGTATTGGTTTAAGATCTCAACCATCCATCTCAGTGCAGTAGGGCCACACTATCCTTTTCAAGATCATTGATATACACCAGAATTTAAGACAAGAAAAAATTGCAGTAATTTATGCAATTTTTCAACTTCATATATTGCATTTTAATTATGGACACCTCACTATATCCAAATATAATTACATTTTTTTTTTTTAGAATAACAAGACCTGGAGATACTTTAAGAAATTTGTTTGGCTTTTCTTGAGGGGCCCAAGAACAGCCCTATTTTTTCGATGTGTTCTCCACTTTGTTTAATATGATATTCAGGAACACGACTACCGTGTTATTCAAAGGTCAACTGTACATATAAGAAATCTAAATCCTTTTCATGTATTACTGACCCATCCTATGCCAGCTTTCCTAATACGATATCAATAAATATCGGTACTTTGAAATTAATAAAAGCGGCAAACTCTTTAGCATTTAATTCTAGATCTGCTGACTCTTTGGGAAGACTTGTACATAATGTGCATGTGTATGTTTGTGTATATGTTATACAAACTGTCAGTGAGAAAAGATGGCACAAAATTATACAACTAATTGTTTTATTAAACTTTTTTTTTTTTTAGAAAATGTTAACAAACAGATCCTTCAATAATACTGAAGATGACTCTTAGAAGTCTCCTGACAGACCAGTTTATGCATGGAACATGGGTTTTTCTTGCATAAATTTTTATTAATCACAGTAATATTTAATTTTATATTAGTACCTTAAACCAACATCAATTTTTTCTGAATGTACAACAAAATTCTTTATCACAGCATTTTAATTTTTAAGGGAAAAAAAAATTAAGTGTCAAGCCATGCACTAAAGGACTTAAATTTGGATGCTGCTGCAATTTATTTAGCAAATATAGTCCCCTCAAATCTAAGGAAATAATAGAGTAGACTCTAACGTTCACTACTACATACCTCATTTTCAATAAATTTAAAAAAAGGAATACTATTATTATTATAATCAAAAAGAAGCGCTAAGCCACAAAAGGAATACTAGTGATGCTGAAATTGCAAAAAGTGTAACCATGAAACTGACTGTTTTGAAAACTGGAGATTATAGATAAGCTTAAAAATGGTGCATATGTGATGAAGATGGTGCTTGCCTTTGGTGTTAGAGAATCAACAGTTCCTTCGGTTTAAGACAGTGAGATGAGAAGAGCTTTTGCAATGAGTAACCCAAAATGCAGAATGCTGAAAAAAATATCAGACAATACTGCTAAAACAAAAGTTTATTATTATTACAATCAGAACTCAGCCTTAAATCCACAAGGGTCATACAACGCTGACAAAAGTTTGAATGCATTGATTGAGCATAAAACAAAGAAAGGCGTTTCACTTAGTGCCCTTATGATAAATATATTATATTGTATTATAAAATAATTTGTGAGCAGGAAGATAAGTCTGAAATGATTCAACAGTTTAAGCTTGCAAGTGGCTAAATAATTATCGAGCTTAGTGTGGAAAGTGCATCTGCTGGCTACACTGCTACAGGAAACTTCCCTACAGAGCTGGAGAAATTTATTTCTGAGAGTGGGTAAAAGCTTGAGTGTTTAATGTCGAAACAGCATTATGTGCATTGATGTAGCAGGCAGTTTTGAGTGCAAGCTGATACTTATTTACCACTCCCAGTGTCTTCATGTTTACAAATGTAGACAAACACTGCCTGATATTTGGCTGTCCAACAAGACAGCATGGATGAATGAGGCATTGTTTGGCGAGCAATTCAAGCATTGTTTTATTTCTTCAGTCATGATGTACTTGTTCTAAAAGAACTTCTCACTCAAGGTTCTCCCTCTTGATAATTCCCATAGCCATCTTCTGCTTTTGCAGTTCGTGCACTTACATGTGAATTTTTTTTTTTTACCACCAAATTCAACATTTGATACAACCACTGGATGGAAGAGTGATTAAGACACTTAGGTGCCACTAGACACAAAAGATATGGAAACTCCTTGCAGCAGTAGATGACAATAAAGACACTAGTGTTAGTGTTCTGGCATAAATTTAAAATTGCAGATTCAATAGCCTACATACAAGTTACATGGGCTAAGTGCCTCAAACAACAGATGCATGCTAAAGAAAATTATGGACTAGTGTGGTGAAGAATTTCACAGATTTTTCATCAATAGAAAGTCCAGGAAACTGTGGATCTGGCAAGGAAAATGCCAGGTGAGGATTTTAAAGATATGGAGGCAGAAGACATAAATGAATTCTTAGAAAATGAAAAAAAAAAAAAAGCTACAAGAAAATGATAAAAGTACTCGATTCCCAGATAGATGGGAGGCAAATAACAGATTATTATTATAATCATAACTAAGTACTAAATAAATAACAAAAATGTACAATATTGCGACTGGAACAATCTGCAGTCACAACGAGTGTGACTTTGTAAATGGTCCAAGTCGGACTAAAACATCGTCGTAATTATTTGTGTAAGTGCTAAACCCACAAGGGTCATACACCATAAGATAATAGAAAAGGATGAGGAAGAACCTGAAGCTAAACAGTTGACACTCAAAAGATATATATACATGAGACAATGCATGCTATTGGTAAAGCTGCAGACTGTTTGACTGAGGAACCCTGACTTGTCTACAAGCACTGCTGTGAATCAGGGTCTGGAGTACTGATGCCTCATCATAAGCTGTCTAAAGTACTGCAGGATAAAACACAGCCAGGATGCCTTACAGAATATCCGAGTACCAAGTAACAATGCTGTGTCGATCTCAGCCCAAGAACCACAGCCATCTACCTCAATCCAGTATGACCACAGCAACCCTGTCCAACAAGGTCAAAATCAACCTACATCAGCAGTCAGAATTTAAGGTAGAGCAACATTAATCCTCTCCATACATTTTTAGAACAAGCAATGATATCTACAATTTAAGGTATCAGAAACTATTATTTTTGACAAATTAAGAAATTTAAATGAAATTACTGATTAATTTTTTTTGGCATGATAGAGCCTGATATATTAAATTTGAAAACTTAAATACTTACCAGTAAATGTCTGCTACTTTTTTTTTTATTAACACATCAGCCGTCTCCCACCAGGGCAGGGTGGCCCGAAAAAGAAAAACTCTCATCATTCACTCCATCACTGCCTTGCCAGAGGCGCACTGACACTACAGTTATAAAACTGCAACATTAACACCCCTCCTTGAGTGCAGACACTGTACTTCCCATCTCCAGGACTCAAGTCGCGCCTGCCAGTTTCCCCAAATCACTTCATAAATGTTACCTTGCTCACACTCCAACAACACATCAAGTACTAAAAACCATTTGTCTCCATTCGCTCCTAACACACTCACACATGCCTGCTGGAAGTCCAAGCCCCTCGCACACAAAACCTCCTTTATCCCCTCTCTCCAACCTTTCCTAGGCCGACCCCTACCGTGCCTTCCCTCCACTACATATACTCTTATCTCTTTAAGCATGGATTATAAAACTGATATCTATTTTTCACTATAGATACAAAATTTTGTAGAATTCTGATCAGTCAGATGAAGGAATAATGGCCTACAGGTTTAGTGCTTCAGTTTTTTAATATGGTAAAAGATCTATTGGGTTTAGTACTTTTTGTGAATACAATAATAGTAATTGCTCCAATTTTCTAAAATTATTTTTATTACATATTTGACACAGAAACATTTGATTAAAATAGTAAATTAACAGCATCATTTAGTATTTACCTTTATAATAATTTGTTTTTCCAATTTATATCCTCTTAATACAAGATAATGAGTGACTGTCAATGAATACATGGAACAATGGACTAGGACTCGAAACCTACTGTACACTCTATGGCTGAGAATTACAGTTTTGGACCTGCTACATGCACAAACCTTGGTTTGAGTTCCAATCCATCCTAGCTCTACACTTTTAATAAAATCACTGCAAATTTAAATGGATAATGTTAACACTTATGACATGTTAAAAATTCTTGTTTGAAAGTCCCTTTTCGAGTATTTTGTTAGCATGCAGTACCCAATGACCCATTCATACTCAGCTACTAAATTATTAAGTCCTTTTTCCATCTTTGCCTCACCCATAAAATTTAAAACATTACAAAGTCACTACTTCATAGTACCAGTAGTAATACATAATAATTTTTAAATAAAAATTATACAGAAAATACAATGAAACCATTAGGGACTAACAATGAAGTATTAATAAAAGTTTTTTTATAATCTTTGTAAAATACAGATTTATATATTATATATATGTATATATTTACAAAATGTCAGATCTTGAGAGAGAGAGAACATCTAACAGTTACTTAAGGATAACTTATAATTAAGATTTTAATTATGCATGGGTATGACAAATCCCCATTTTCACTAAAATGAATGGTAAATAGGAAAATGTATAAAAAAATTGTGAATATACAGTACTATATCTATAGTTATTGTACTCCATGCTTAGGTTTCACTGATTAACCCACAGTATATTTATAAAGTTGCTGACCTTTATTATAAAGGCTCAAATTAATGTTGGCTGAATAGAATTATTTTATATAAAACAAAATCATTTGCCAGAATAGTATAGGTATATACCAAAGGATACAGATCTACTTACAAACTTTTACTACACAGAGTGTAGATTATCACAGGCCTTACATCTGAAAGATAATACTCAAGGCTAAAGCAGCACTTGTTATTCTATACAAGTGAACAAGCACCACCTTATTCAGATTAAAGCCTAAGTTAAACATGACCTACGTGCAACAGTAAATAACAGCACTACAAAAACCTTATCTACTATTCTTCCCTGCACTTACCCCGTGGTCTAAACTTCTGCAATTTTAGGGAAAAAAATATGAGCTTCTGATAAATGATCATTTGCATAACAATCCGAGGCAACGTTGCAGATGCACAACAACGTTTTCAGATGCACAACATCACAGACTATAATATGACATGGTCGCATTACCAATACAGAGATGCATCACTTTCCCAAGTTTCACCATGGTACAACAATAATATACCTAGCAAAAATTTAATTCAGTACCGGTTATTGTAAATAAATTGATCATAATATGCAAAAATATTTTTGTGTACGGCACTGCACTTATAACAACAGAACAACTGATAATGTATATCTATAAAATTCCAAGTGTTCTATGAGTGACAGTATCATGAATGATGGAAAAACAAAAAATCGTGAAACTGAGTATCTCAAATGTGACAAGTTTTGACAATCTACTCTTGAAGCCTGGAATGAGGCCACACCATTGTTAATTTCAGTTCAATCAGATTATTGCTGCCAGCAGCTTGCAGGCCAACACAGTCATTACAACCTAACTGATCTCACAGCTGTTCCTACTGAATTTTCCATTCACTTCAATTCAATATTACTATCATTTTTTCTGGTCATGTAGTGTTCAATCATAAATTTCTTTATCAAGAGAAGTACACACATGACTACTTGTGCTGGTACATGAATACTAAAGCTTAATAAAAGATTTGCCAAGATGCTTATAGTGTCACATTAATATCTATTATAAATATGCCAGAACACTTTTGGCATTTTTTAGTGATTTACAACAAAACTTTAGCAAATGAATGACTGAGGAAGCTCAAAATCCCAGACGTGCCAGAGCCATCTGGCTTTCGAAGCTTCACTATCTCCCAGTACACATCGTGAACTGAGGGGAAAAAAATAATAAATTAGTCTTATTTAAAGATGTGCTATTCCCACAAAGTAAAACCTATGATACTATCTGGGTTTAACACACTATTAGTAATTGTTAGGAAGAAAAATAGCACTGAACCCCTTTTTATTACAATATTTTTTTTTTTAACATACTGGCTGTCTCCCACCGAAGCAGAGTGACCCAAAAAAGAAGAAAACTATAAAGGTTATCTTATTTTTACATTTAGTAGTTTATAAAGGAGAAGGGATTACTAGCCCTTTGCTCCCATATATACAGTACATAAAAGTAAAAAAACTATGTGCTACTGAGTGAACAGGCCGAGTTGGTCCTCTCCTACTAAAGTAAGGGGACCACAAAAAAAGTAAACATTCATTTAAAAACTGTTCTGATAGATATGCACAATAAAATTCAGTATATGTCTTTCCCCACCCAAACACAGTCATAATAGCAAACACAGTCAATGCCGAATTGCAGAAAATATCTGCCTGGATGATGACTAACAAGCTTACCCTGAACACTGATAAAACCTATTTCATTCAGTTTGGAAACAAAGCTGCAAATGATCCAATTAACATAACGCTGAACGGATCATCAGTCACAAAACTCACAGAGGGAAAATTCCTAGGTATCCACCTTGACAGTAGCCTTAAGTTCCGGACACACAACAAATCACCAAGAAAATCTCCAAGAGTGTAGGCATACTATCAAAGATAAGGTACTACATTCCACAATCAACTCTCCTGACACTGTACCATTCACTCATATACCCTTATCTTACATATGGAATTTGTGCATGGGGATCAACAACATCCAATCACCTAAAACCCCTAATAACCCAGCAAAAGGCAGCAGTAAGAATGATAACAAATTCTCACTCCCGCCAGCATACTCCACCAATTTTCAAAAGTCTGAATCTGCTCACCATTAAGAACATCCATACTTATTCATGTGCCTACTACATACACAGAACAATTCATGCAAATATAAACCCTCCACTCAAACTTCTCCTCACCAACCCAAACAGGACACATGATGACAACACAAGACACAGATCTCTTTTTGATATACCTCGTGTCCATATCACACTGTGTAAAAACTCTATGCACATAAAGGGCCCCAAAATATGGAATTCATTACCAGAAGATATTAAAGTAACCCGGTCTGAAAATCAATTTAGGACTCTTCTCAAAAGCCACTTAATCACCCTAGACTAAATGCTAGTACTCAGTACACACATACTCACTTATGTTCTCCCACATTATAACTTCAACAATCACTTTGAACCTTTTATCCATTGTTGACAGAAATATAATTAAATCATTGTTTTCACAGAAAGCATTTTTGAATAAATGAATTTATATTTTGTCTTACACAAATTTTTATTCACTTATAATTAATAATCAACTGTTCAACTATGAAATAATTATTATCCTACTGTGCGACTATGATATAATTCTTAGTGTTAAGTAGTCTGTAAGCCAATAATGTTAAGTTGGCCCATAATGTCTCGGCATAATAGAGGCTCTCTTTGCATTGCATCCCACTATTGTAAATACAGAATCTCAATGTACTGTTTGCAAAGACATAAAATAAATAAATAAATATAGAAAGAGATTAATCTTTAATATGACCCAGCATGGTGAATTTGCAAAGAAATTATTAATAAGACTGAAATTACAGTAAAATGTTATATACAATCCTTGGAACAGTTATTTACAAGATGAAATTATACTGAAGTTCAGATTTAAAAATTCAAGAAAATCAAAAGATTACAGATGCAAAACCATGAATCTATGCTTGCATACTCACTCGAACTCTTGACTAGACCAAGTTTAATGTATCGTAAATAGTTGAGAAAGTCACAGATGGCAATGATCTGAAAAAAAAAAAGTTACATTAAGTACTGCACATATACTTATTATATGGTGCTGTAATGTGTTACTTAATCTACATTTCATTCAGAGTTGCAATCAACATTATTTATGCTAAATGTCTTGCACAATGCATTTCAAGTTTTGTGCATAACTCTACACATCTCACAAAAGTTAATAAAACAAAAGATACATACAGTGGAACCTCTACTTGCGAGTGTGTCCATGTGCGAGTTTTTCCAAATATGAGCAGTCGATGGGTCAATTTTTTGCTTCCATGCATGAGCAAAATTTCCATAAGCGAGCAGACCTCAAGGCAGCTTCCTTGACACTGTTGAGGGGCTCTTGCTCTTGATCTCGGGAATTGTATCTCATTTGTTTGTTGGACTATCTTATTGAAACTTGGGCAATGTATGATGGAAAGATACTTCTTAACGTACACCAAAAATGAAAGAAATCTCAGCATAAATAATGGAGTTCACTTCTCAGCAATTAGCCACCCCTTAGCAGTAATTTCGAATGGTTTTTATGGTTGTATTCTTATTTTTTTAGTCTCATTTGATAGAATGGAAGATATACATATACCCCTTAGCAGTAATTTCGAATGGTTTTTATGGTTGTATTCTTATTTTTTTAGTCTCATTTGATAGAATGGAAGATATACATATACATGTATATACGTATTACAGAAACAGATATGATTTTGATTGCTTTCACGGCGAAAAGTACCTCGAAATTGACCTCAACATAGGAGAAATGGTCCATTGCTTGGCTATGTTTCAGAGTAAACAAATGACGTCACTGTCCATTCCAATATGCAGTCGTGAACGGGTTGACATTATTTATACAATTATTGCAATAAGGAATAACAGTAAATCTTATATTTTTGTGTGAATAAAAATTACAAGGATGTGTGATGTCACCGTGGTTATTTAATATATTTATAGATGGGGTTGTAAGAGAAGTAAATGCGAGGGTCTTGGCAAGAGGCGTGGAGTTAAAAGATAAAGAATCACACAAAGTGGGAGTTGTCACAGTTGCTCTTTGCTGATGACACTGTGCTCTTGGGATATTCTGAAGAGAAGTTGCAGAGATTGGTGGATGAATTTGGTAGGGTGTGCAAAAGAAGAAAATTAAAAGTGAATACAGGAAAGAGTAAGGTTATGAGGATAACAAAAAGATTAGGTGATGAAAGATGGATATCAATTGGAAGGAAGAGTATGGAGGAGGTGAAGTTTTCAATTTTGGGTGGGGGTTGTCAGCGAGGGGTCTTTTGAAGATGATGTGAATCTAGAAATGTAAGGGGAAAGGGTGAGTGGTGCACTTAGGAGTCTTGGACAAAGAACTTTGTCTTGGAGGCAAAGGGGAATGTAGGGAGAGTATAGTTTTACCAACGCTCCTTATATGGGTTAAAGCATGGGTGATGAATGTTGCAGCGGGGGAAAGGCTGGAGGCAGGGGAAGTCATGTCTGAGAGCATGTGTTGGTGTGAATATAATGCGGGAATTCTAGTTTGGAAGTTAGGGGAGTGGGGTTTTACCAAAACTGTTGTCCAGAGGCTGAGGAAGGGTTGTTAGGTGTTTCAGACAGTAGAGAGAAGGGAGCGAACAGAATGACTTCAAGATGAATCTTTGTGGAAGGAACGGGGGGTAGGGTTCGGCCTAGGAAGGGTTTTGGAGGGAGGGGGTAAAGGAGGTTTTGGTGAGGGCTTGGACTTCCAGCAGGCAGCGTGAGGTGTTTGATAGGAGCGAATGGAGACAAATGTTTTAAAATACTTAAACGTGCTGTTGGTGTGAGCAAAATAACATTTATGAAGGGTTCAGGAAACCCGGGCCAGGCCGGACTTGAGTCCTGGAGAGGGGAAGTACATGCCCTCACTTGAAGGAGGGGTGTTTAAAGGGTTGCAGTTTAAAATTGTATTGTAAAGCACCCTCTGGCAAACAGTGATGATGAATTTGGTGAAAGTTTTTCTTTTCGGGCCACCCTTGCCTTGGGGGGAAATGGGCCAGTGTGATAATAAATAAATAAAATAATAAAGTATAAAAATATGTATAATAAAAAATTTTTTTTTTTTCAACAAGTGTGCCATCTCCACCGAGCAGGGTGACCCAAAAAAGAAAAAAATCCCCAAAAAAATATTTTCATCACCCATAACCCCTTTCACCCATCGCACTTATCACTTTTTTGCAAGGTCTCAGAATAAACAGTTTAAGCATACACAAAATAAATTACAAAACATATCCCTCAAACTCCCAAATATTCCCAAACCCTCCTTTAAAGTGCATCACTGTACTCCCTTTCCAGGACTCAATCCGACTAAAAGAAATAACCCGTTTCCCTGAATCCCTTCACTAAATATTACCCTGCTCACACTCCACAGAATCCGTGCAGGTCCAAGTATCATTCGTCCTCCATTAAACTCCTACCCTAACACACCACGCACGCTTGCGGGAAGCCCAACCCTTCCACAAAACCTCCTTTACCCCCTCTTTCCAACCCTTTCGAGGACGACCCTACTCCGCCTTCATTTCCCTTAGTTTTTAATGCTTTCCAAATTTGAAAATCCAATTTTTTTTTTCTAAATCTTTTGGACACCCTCATCACTTACTCTTTTTTATGTTCATTTTCAACTTTCTGCCTTTACACATATTCCAAACTCATCCACTAACCTTTGCAATTTTCTTTAGAATCTCCCTAAGCACAGTATCATCAGCAAAAAAGTAACTGTGTCAATTCCCATTTTGAATTGATTCCCCAAATTTTAATCCCATCCCTCTCCGAAACCCTAGCATTTACTTCCTTTTACAACCCCATCTATAATATATTAAACAACATGGTGACATTACACATCCCTGTCTAAGACTACTTTTACCGGGAAGTAAGTTTTCCCTCTTTCTACACACCCTAACTTGAGCCTCACTATCCTCATAAAAACTCTTTTACACATTAGTAACTTACCACCTATTCCATATACTTGCAACATCTGCCACATGCCCCCTCTATCCACTCATCATATGCCTTTTCTAAATCCATAAATGAAATTTAAAACTTCCCTACCTTTATCTAAATACTGTTCAGATATATGCTTCAATGTAAACACTTGATCACACATCCCCTACCCACTCTAAACCCTCCTTGCTCTCCGCAATCCTACATTCTGTCTTACCTTTCTAATTCTTTCAATTATAACCCACCATACACTTTTCCTGGTATACTCAGTAAATTATTCCTCTATAATTTTTACAGTCTCTTTCGTCCCCTTTCCCTTTATAAAAAGGGACTAACATGTCTCCGCCAATCCCTAGGTACCTTCCCCTCTTTTATACATTTATTAAACAAAAGTTTACCCAAACCCCTCCAACACTATATCCCCCCCCCCCCCTGCTTTTAACATTTCTGTCATGATCCCATCAGTTCCAGCTGCTTACCCCCTTTCATTTTACGTAATGCCTCACGTACCTCCCCCCCCCACTTACATTCTGCCCCTTCTTCACTCCTAAAAGAGGTATACCTCCCTGACCAGTGCATGAAATTACGCCTCTGTTTCTTCCTTAACATTTAAAAGTTCATCAAAATATTCTCGCCCTCTACCTAATACCTCCATCTCCCCATCTACTAACTCCCCCTACTCTGTTTTTAAACTGACAAATCCATACTTTCCCTAGGCTTTCTTAACTTGTTTAACTCACTCCAAAATTTTTTCTTAAAATTTTTATTAAAATTTCTTGACAGTGCCTCTCCCACTCTATCATCTGCTCTCCTTTTGCACTCTCTCACCACTCTCTTTACCTTTTTTTTTACTCTCCATATACTCCTGCTCTTCTTATAACACTTCGCTTGTAAAACCTCTCATAAGCTACCTTTTTCTCTTTTATCACACCTTTACTTCATCATTCCACCAATCACTCCTCTTTCCCCCCCCTGCCCCCCCCCTCCTATAACCACAAACTTCTGCCCCACATTCTAATACTGCATTTTTTAAAACTATTCCAACCCTCTTCCAACCCCCCACTACTCATCTTTTTCACTAGCCCACCTTTCTGCCAATAGTCGCTTATATCTCCCCCCGAACTTCCTCCTCCCTTAGTTTATACACTTTCACCTCCCTCTTACTTTTTGTTGCCACCTTCCTCTTTTCCCATCTACCTCTTACTCTAACTGTTTGCTACAACTAAATAATGATCCGATATTTCAGTTGCCCCCTATAAACTGTACATCCGGAGCCTACCCATCAACCTTTTATCCACCAATACATAATCTAATAAACTACTTTCATTACGTGCTACATCATACCTTGTATATTTTTTTATCCTCTTTTTCATGAAATATGTATTTCTTATTTACCAAATCTTTTTTCTACACATAGCTCATTAAAGGCTCCCCATTTACATTTACCCCTGGCACCCCAAATTTACCTACTACTCCCTCCATAACATTTTACCCCACTTTAGCATTGAAATCCCCAACCACCATTACTCTCACACTTGATTCAAAACTCCCCACGCATTCACTCAACATTTCCCAAAATCTCTCTCTCTCCTCTACACTTCTCTCTTCTCCAGGTGCTACACACTTATTATAACCCACTTTTCACATCCAATCTTTTTTTTACTCCACATAATCCTTGAATTAATACATTTATAGTCCCTCTTTTCCTGCCATAGCTTATCCTTCAACATTATTGCTACTCCTTCTTTAGTTCTAACTCTATTTGAAACCCCTAACCTAATCCCATTTATTCCTCTATTATTATTCTACGTATAATAATATGTACACCTACCATTTGACTTACGACCTGCCGACTTACGACAACTCAACTTACGGCCATGTTTTTTATGCCAAATTTCTGGGAAATAAACAACTATTTGTGTTGTACACAATGTTTATCCTAAACCTTACAGTATAAAATACTGTACTAACAGCATAAAAAGTAAAGTAAAACATGAAATACCAAAATAAAACAATAAAATAAAGTCATTACAAAAATGTTTTGTTGATATTCAGTA